GTGTGTGTGTGTGTGTGTGTGTGTGTGTGTGTGTGTGTGTGTGTGTGTGTGTGTGTGTGTGTGCGTGCGTGCATGCGTGTGTGCATGCGTGTGTACCTTAAATATACAGTTTTACAACAATCATGTTGCGACAAAACACAGTGTGGCTAACGTGCATTATACTGAACATCAATATAAAATAACATACACAACTGCTGACTGTACTGAAATCCACAAACTCTCTCTCTCTCTCTGTCTCTCTCTCTCCACATACATAAACACACAAAAGTACAGCGCATAAGTGCAGAGTGAAGGATTTTACATATACAGTATAGAGTCAATAAAACGACTCCACAAACAAAACATATAAAACACCGCTGTAATTATAAAGAAGCCAACACCACAAACCACTGCAGCTTTGTATGCATAAACCTCAACTGTTTTCCTGTAGTACAATCACCTGTGTACGTGTGAGTGTGTCGACTGGGTGAATGTACGCAGCCTGTGTTCACTGTAACTCTCCACTCATATATATCATCATACTGTAATTGTAGGCTTACTAACTCTTTATATGAGTTTACTCCACTGGTACACATCACCATTACTACCAGTTCAGTGCTGTCATGTCAGGGGGCCTCAGAAACGGCTGGTAACAATTACGTACATATTTTTTGCTCCAAGTATGTCTAATCTCACTCAGCCGATTAAACAACTGACCAAGCTGCTACCACAAAACTTTACTGTGTGTATAAGGAACTAATTGAGCTCTGCTAATGAGGTTTAGTGAAGCGGAGTGCAACAAAGTGGGCGTGAGGGTGGTGCAGGTGACATTTGGCCCAGACTCACAGTGGCTCCATCATGTCACACAAACACACACACAAACACAATGCAGCTAAAAATCTTATAAAACCACAGAGAATGGGTTGGATGTCGTGGCAACACAGTCACTTCCTCCACCAGTGATGACTAAGAAGAGTTTTTCATAACGCTTCACAGTTGCTCGGCATAAGTGCTAACCTTCCATAAGCAGTCATTTCATAAAAATGTACAGTAAGCTGTACCCTTTCTATCTCAAGGCAACTACACTGATCTATCAAGACTCACAAACTAATGGAGCTCGAGGCAGATCAAGACCTTTCTCTTTCACTTTAAGAAATGATTGCATGTGTTTTTGAATTTATTTGATGTTTTAAAGTTTAAACTCGATCATGACTCACTGAAATTAACACGTAAAACAGTTTGTAATGTAGGCTAAAAATAGTGAAATGTATATTTTTATTCGAACCACAGAAAACTATAATAAACAGGGATCGATCATAGCTTAAACTTTGATTGATCAATTAATGATAAACATTATTATCATTATTAACATGCCTTTATAATGTATATCAATGATAATTAGTTACTAAATGATACCTAAACAAATGTAATTTAAATAAACGTGAACAAAATATGCATATGAAAAATATTCATATAATCCTTTCACTAATAAGGATATTAATGTTATTGTTATAATATTATTAATGATCATATTGAGGGATAAATAAGAAATAAAATGTCATGTGAACAAACATTTATACATTTCCTACCTCTGCTGATCATCAGGTTATAAAAACATCATGGCTGACTGCGGGTCTTGGCATCAGTTCTGCGGAAGCGGCTCGATTCAGTCCTGCGGCGCCACGGTCCGTCCAGCAGCACAGTTCGGCTACTGGTGCGCCGTACTCCACACTGCAACTGGAACCAGGTGCCAGGTCCAAACTAATATCCTCCCATTTCTTTCATCAGGTCCATGTAACTCCACTCTTTTCAGCGTCTTTGACTTTTCTTTAAGGTCTTAAACTCCACAAAGCATCAGTCGACCTTTGGTCCAGGGCTAGTGCTGCGCTTATGCGTAACAGCTGGGCATTACAGTTTTGAGTTTGATCAAGTGCGTTGCAGGTCCGTGTGAGAAGTCATACGCAGCCTGCCGTTCTTTCTGTCCTGTTGGGGGGGGCGGGTTTCCAGCTCTGGTTTAGGCTCTCAGTCACGGTTGTCAGAGTCCACCATCACCTTAACAACCTGGAAAGTGACAGAAAGACAAATAAAGTTAGAAACCAGCATATTCTGCCACATTTACTGGAACCTATTCGACTCCAAGCATTTTGTCCATATTTAACATTTACAGGAAACAATTTCATCCAGACTTTAGACGTCCGCCCAAATTGACCGGCTGATCAAACGGTGCACAAGGAGCAAAAACAAATTGTGCCCACCTGATACCTCGGACAGTTAAACTAATCACACCAATTTTGTTTTATCACCGGATTTGACAGCTGACAACGCCTTCCATGTGAAGACTGTTTTAAGGCAGCAGGATAAAGTCCAGCCACTGGTAATGTTAATCTTCAAATAAAACATGCATGTCATTGACAAGGTAAATTACCAACCTGCATAAGTGCAAGAGCAATTTAACCTGCTTCACATTGTATACAAACATTTTTTAATGAGGAATGGTGAAGGGAATGTGGGTACTCTAAACTGTGTCCCATCCTCCTCCTTAAAAACTGCTCAAGGGAGCACAATTAAAAGCAAATAGTTCTTTATAACAAGCGTCCGTGTGTGTGTGTGTGTGTGTGTGTGTGTGTGTCTGTCTGTGCGCGCGCAAGGAAACTTGGCACAGTCAAATGACAACTATCTGTGGCGCAAACTGGTTACGTACAGTCAGCTTAATACACTTTAAATAAAGCACTCAGCAGTTTGCTGCCAATACACTGGTGACAGAAAAGCCACGAATAAAACCGTGAGGAATTAATTCAGATTAAGAAACCAGTCTGTGGTGACAATCAGCGGCACCAGCGTTAAATCTCTTGTTCTCTCTCCACACTTATTATTCGCTCCATTTCAATATCGATCGCTTTATAAACGAGAACAAAACTGTCACCGCTGAGCGATTTCCAGGTATTAATAAACAAAATAAATGACTGAATATCCAATTCCCAGTGTGTCCTGTATCCGCTGACGATTATATTGTCTTTATTTGGTAATTCTAGTGTTAAATGTCAGACTCTCCAGTTCTCAGTTCCCCCTTTTGTTGCCCCAACCACAAAAATCACTCCACCCTCTCTCTCTCTGTGTGCCACCCTTTCTTCTTCTTCTTTCCATCCATCTTGACTCTCTCTCTCCCTCTTACCGCAAATCTAAATCTGAGTCTGTATTTATACAAAGCCGGTTTCCTTGGGTCAGTTTGACTCGTGTGTGTGTGTGTGTGTGTGTGTGTGTGTGTGTGTGCGTGTGTGTGTAGGAGGCAAATCTGAAGTCTTCACACGTACGCTCATAAAGCCACTGTTTTATCAGCTTAAATGATAAAACAAAGAAGATGGCAGAGGCTGTGCATATTAAACTGTCTTTCTCCTGCTGATTTTATACTTACATTTCAGTTTTGAAAAGTTTAAATGCATGTAAAAAGATTTTTTTTTAAAGTGAATTGATGTATGGGACGGGCTTTTCACCTGTACTGTGGTTTACCTGGTCGGCCGTGGACCTGACCACATCCTATAGCGCAGCTCTAACTTTGTTTGGACTACAGGCTAGAAAACGAACTCAGCAGCCATTTGAGAACTTGAGTGCGTCATTATCTGAAAAGGGATATCTGCTGTTTGAAAAGAAGAAAAAAGAGAAAGAGCGAGAGGGAGAATGCTGGCATCGGTAATAAAGCACATTATGAGTCATTACTGAAATTATGAGTCATTTTGTGAGAACCTCCCATGTTAAAGAGTATTGTTTCTGATGTTGTAACATGGTCGATGATGAGTTCCAGGTAGGACACATGGGAGGGAACTGTCACATGTCCCCAGGTAACCTTATACTGAAATATGAACTGATATCAAAGTGTCCTGAATTAGAATATCTTGCCATTTCACTGCTTTAAATGAACATATAGAGTTTAATGATCCCTGGCTTAAAAAGCTATGACATACACCCACCTACAAAAACAAAGATTACATTGATACAACTGTTTTTTTTTCTCCAGGTTTTAAAATCTGCACTGTGAAATTACACACACACGCGCACACACACACACGTGAACACACATGCACGTACATGCACGTACACACACACACGCACGCTTCCGGTTATTACATGATTGACCACATAATAGCATTAGCCATTAGAGCTGAAAGAAAGCAGAAGAAAAATGTTCTCTCCACAAGTAGAAAGAAAAAGGAAAAGTGTAGGGCGACTTACTCATTAGACGTTTTCACAACAGGGAAAGAAAAAGGGAGAAAAACGTTTTCTTTCTCTTAGAGAGTGAGTGTGGGTCTAAATATTTTCCCTGTGGAACTCTGACTCAGTCGAGCTGCTGCTTATTCATTTACTCAATCACTGTCTTTCCCCGCCAATCTGGTTTTCTCCTTATCCTCCTCCTCTTTCTCTATTCCTCCACCATGCCACCATGACTTATCTCTTTCTTTCTTCTTCGTTTTCTCAGTATTACAGTTCTGTCCTTTCCGTCTTGCTTTCCCTCCCTATCTCCACCTCTGCCATCAATCCATCACTGAGCTCTCTGTCACATTCATGTGCTTCTTCTGTCTGTTTTTCCAAACTGTCATTGTGGCTGAGCAACCCCCCCCCCACCACCACCACCACCACAGCCGCTGCCTCCTGAGCTTCGACCCCCCTCCACGAATGCGTGTGGTCCGGTCCGACTATAGACCATTACATTGTCCCAGACAGGTTGGACTGCGCCACTAGCCGGCAGACGTGGGGGTGGAGGAGGTGGGGTTTGAAGGGCGGGGGGGGG